TTACTAAAAAATTTGTTAAAAAATAATTGATTGATTAATTAAATAATAATAATGACTAATAATAATTCATTTATTTATTAAATGTATTATTATTATTAATAATAATAATTCCACTTTTTTATTTTATCGGGCTTATAAGGCTTTTAAATATTAATAATATATTAAAAAACGTTTTTTTTTTTTACTTTTTTCAAGAAACTATATTATGTCTGACTACTTTTTTCTTTATTACAGTTACGCCACCTACACCACCTTTTTTTCATAAACTTTAAAGGGATAATTAACCCAATTCATTTATTTATTTTTTGTCATTTGCCCGCCCTCATTTCATTCCAAACCTGTATGAATTTGTTTCTTCTGCTGAACACAAAAGAAGATATTTTGAAGAATGTTGATCATTAAACAGCTGCTGGTGGCCATTGACTTCCATAGTATTTTTTTCCCCCATATATGAAAATCAGTGGCTACCAGCAACTGTTTGGTTACCAACATTCTTCAGGTGAACAGGTGAAATACAGACGAATACAGGTTTGGGACAACTTGAGGGTGAGTAAATGATGAAAAAATTGTATTTTATGGGTGAACTATGCCTTTAAGTCTCACCAAAAATATATTTTGGACTTTAAATCCAGAAAATGAAATCATGTCCATCATAGAAGCTTTTCTTTATGAAATGAATAACTTCTTATAGATTCAGACATCATTGACCCATGAGTTTGTTTGCTGGTGCTCTGTGATCTCTCAGTCTCACTGAAGGGGTGCTGCAGCGTTTAGGATGATAGTGCTGCAGTTGGGTGCTATATACCCTGGTGAGGTGAAGTGCACGAGAATCTCCTCTCAAATCAGCGCTCTGATAGTCAGAATGAGCATACAGGGATCCAGCGGTGGTACCTCCATCCCCAGGGCAACTGCAGCAGCTGGAGTGCAAAAGCCCTGTCACCCCCTCAGAACAAGTACTTGCGCTGGCAGAGCTGTCCGCTGCCCCCCCCCACACCAGTCCACAGAGCGAGGGGGTCTGATCTAATGCAAACAGACATCTCCTCACACTTCACAGTTTGGATCACCTCAACTCGCGAGGATGGCAGGGAAAATGAGCGTCGCTCGGCTACAAAAGTCCAAATTTAGACTGACTGAGTTTGTCCGCGGGCTGACACAAGCGGGCCGCCGTTACTCGCCGCGCAAGGAGAGCGCGGGACTGGAGTGACACGTCGGAGAAGGCTGGTTGCCGATCGCTGGAGGTGGGGGAAGGGGAGGAGCGGCTACTTTGAAGGAAAGTGTCAGATTGGGTTAGCATCCAGACTGGTGTTGGAATATGCTTGGCACTAATATGGCACCAGTATCTCTGTCCTCATCTCTGTTTACTGTCAGTACGTGCGATTCCTTGGCCTGTCTCTCCGTGGCTCTGACAATGTCTTTTCGGATTATGTTAGTGGCGCGCTCGGAGCGCCGCCGCAGCTCACCCATCACTCAGCCACTTTGTTTTGAAGCCTGCCCTTTTTTGTCATTAATGCACTTGATGTCTATTTAAAAACGGCGGCGAACGCCATATCTGTTTTCCTGTCAGGAGATCATTGACAGCATTAATGCCACTTGTCCTTGCCTCATTTACTAAAGCGCTGACACCTAGCTGCAGTCTGCCACATCCATCAAGCGCCTCTATTTCTCTCTCTCTCTCTCTCTCTCTCTCTCTGTCGCTGACGTGTCAGAACGATCCTTTCTTTAACACACTCAGACTGGGCTGTCACCGCACATCACCTATAGGCCTCACAGTCAACTAGCATTTTCAGCAAGGCGGAAGGAAGACGTAAACCACACAAATGCTGCGTTCTTCTTCCTAACTCTGGCATATGTTTTGCCAGGTCATGTATTGTTGATGTATGAGAGAAGTGAACAGACACTCGCTCTCTCAATGAGTTATGAACAGTCGCGATGCTTGTGAGAAGAAAGCCTCATTAATTGTCACTAATCCTGCATTAGTCACTGCTTGATGATTATTATTTTGGTTGAACTCCATTGGAATACCACTAACACCCTTACAACTGTCTAGGAACATCTTAGTGACCACCCAGACATCTTCAGCTGCTTCCTTGCAACACCCTAGAAACCACACTCTTGCGAATGCTTAGAAATTACTATCAATTGAACCTTAGCTGGGAGTTTGATTGACAGGCAATCTGACCAATCATAACTGGAATTTGTCATTTTGTTCAACAAACAATTCAGACAGGAGAGTAGATCAGTGGTTCTCAACCCGCGGCCCGCGGGCCGCATGCAGCCCGTCACGAATTCAAATGCGGCCCACCTTGCTGAACACAATTAAAAAGAAAATACTTTGTTTTACAATTCATTTTAGTTTTTACATTAATTTAAAAATGTACTAAATAAATATAAGCTATAGCCTAATGTTTTTATGTAAAATAATTTTGTTTTTCATATATTATTTTCAGACATGAGCAAGGCCCTGCCCGCGTCTGAACTATGACGTGAAAATTGTCCCGAAGCCCAGCCCGAGGGGCGTAAAAAAGTCGGGGCCTGTCGAGCCTGGGCTGAAATGCAGGGCTCTAGCTCTGATCTAGCACACAGAAAACGATTTGACTGAAAATTTATCAGACGAGATGAAAGAAAGATAGTGGTCATCTACGCAATTCGGGAAAAGAGGCGGCTTTTCTGCATTAGGTGTTTTTTTTTTCTTTCTTCCCACGAGGCTTGCACTTGGACCATAGTTCGGCCCGGTGGGAAAAAAGGTTGAGAACCACTGGAGTAGATTAACATCGGTGGACTTAAACTTGAAAAATTTTGTGCATTGAAGGTTCTAAGGTTGAGATAAAACACCTTCTGATGTTCATTCATGTTTATTTCGTGCTTTAAGTAAATATGAAAAGTGATCAGTTCACGTGTCGCTTGAACTGAGGCGCTACAGCGATCTGTCACGATGCATTATAGAGTCACAAAATGGTATTTAATATATGAATTTCTCAAAAAATGACAAAATTTGAAACCTAAGACTTTGTTTCATACCAGAAAACATAGCGCTTTTCCACTGCGTGGTACCACTCGGCACAGCTCGGTCGCTCACTCTTCCAATGCAGTTAGTAACGCTTCAAAGTAGGTGGGATTATTGGACTAGTTGCACTGCCGTGACATCATTGTAAACACAACAAAACCATGAGACAATTGCTATGGAGCCTATCGATGAAATGGTATTTTTGATTCTTGGCATGTGGATGTTTTTCACTGCTAGATGAAGTTTGGTTCAAAGGAGGCTGATGGCAGCAAAGCAGAATACAGCTAAAAAATACAAGAGAGTCGATTTGAGAGAGGATTTGTGTCGCAAATCCAATGACGATTTTCTCTGACCAATCAGTGATCTACAGTGTAAACACGTCGCATTTTAGTATCTGTACGGCTCGCTTGGAACCTCAACCGAGGTGGTACTATTTAAGCGAGTACCACGCAGTGGAAAAGTGCCAATAGAATACCTTAGCAACTGTCTAGCAGCATCCTAGCAACCATCTAACAACATCTTAAGAACCACCTACACTCTAAAAAATGCTGGGTTGTTTCAACCCAACTTTGGGTCAAATATGGGCTAACCCAACCGTTGGGTTAAATTTTTTAATTAAATTTTTAACCCAAAAGTTGGGTTAGCCCAAAGTTGGGTTGAAACAACCCAGCATTTTTTAGAGTGTAGAGCAGCCTAGCAATGCATGGAAATAGTAAGGATTCATTATTGTGTTATATATCAATGTATTAGTATTAGTGTAGTATTTTTCTTGTGATAGCATCACTGTAGCGTTTACTGCAGCAGTACTTGATGAGGCCTGTATTGATTTACTGTAAGTAGACATAAGCAAATGCCTTCTGTATTGCTGTCTTCTGTCATTGATGCTCATAATGATGCTTGATTTGTTTTAATGAATGAGTAAAGAGGATCAACAGCAGTGAGTGGCAGCTTCACACAGTGGATTGTATTCAAATAGTCACACGTGTTCTTGTCCTGTAGGAGTGTTAACACTTTGTCACAGTGTCTCTCTCACACCGCCGAGAGTGTCTGGACAATGAATGAAGCTAATGCTCACCTTATCAAACACAGTTGGTCAGTGGATCAGTACGATGAGCTCACTGTTGATCTTCACCCTTACAGTCTTTTCATCTCTCTCTCTCTCTCTCTCTCTCTCTGAAGAAAGCAATCTCTTGGCTTGTTATTGTCTAGACAATGCCCTCAGGCTAAATGTTGTCTCTCTGGTGTTCTCAGACTTTAGACGGATGCACTGTCTCCCCCGACACACCTTTCATGCCAGAAATTTGAGTGAGAAATGACAGATTCTGCAGACACATTTTTATTTTTTTTTTGCTGCAGCAGTGTGTGTACTTTACTGACAAACCGCTTTCTGATGGATAAACAGTAACAGAGAACTGTAAAATATTTTGTCATTCATAGATTCATAATCATAATACACATGCTTTTTGATTTCAAATCACTGAATAGCTAAATCCATCCATCCATCCATCGATCCATCCAATGTGTAAAAATAATAAATGCTATTTTAAAAATAACTTCTTGTTTTCAACCAAAAGGAAGATTTAGTATCACTATTTTACCACAAGGTACTGCAGTATATCAAAAAGCAATTATGTCCAGTACAGTAATGTTGCATGTTGCAGAAATTTGAAATTTATGAACAACTAACAAAATTGTATTGATGATGATAAAATGAACATAATGAAACCTGAATCATGGTGAAGTCCTGTTGTGTGCAAGTTGTGAAGCTGAATATTTTCCCATAATCAGCTGTCAAACGGTTAGATAATGTATTTAAATATCATCATAATATTACACAATTTAAAGTGCTATTAATATTTTTATGCTATTAGAATCAGTATTTCAACTTCACGGTTGCAGCATCTCGTGGTTTCAGCGCCGAATTCACATGAAGTCGGTTTGACATTGACGTTGTAGTTAAATGTCATTTTGACATGCTCTACTCTCTCACTTTCAGGGGTTTTCACCAAGTGCCGTTATGTCTACTACGGCAAGCACTCAGAGGGCAATCGATTCATCCGCAATGACCAGCTCTGACTGACAGACGGGTCAGTGGATACACACACGAGGGGGCTTTACAAAGATATCCTGCGCATATTATTATAAATATACATGTTGCCACACGCATTTTAAGCAGCCAAACACAGCCCTCTAGTGCCGTCTGCTGAGTGTGCCTTCCCTGCCAACTCCCATCGCTCTCGCTCTGTCTGAGCAGTGCCATCCAGATTGACATGATTGCCTTTAAGCAGCCCCGCTATGCCACGGTGACAGACACAGACGCGGCCGAGCGCTCGTCCTGACAGCCGCGGCTCCATGATGGATTGCCTGGTCCAACTGCTGCTCTCCCCAGGTCAAAGGTCCCACCTGAGGCTTCGGGCTGCCCACACGGAAGCCCAGGATGAGCTCCTCTCAAAGTCAAAGCTGAAGTTAAAGAGAAAGATCAGGGGAAAGTGTCGCCTTTGTTGGAGTTTTACGCTATAGCCATCATTAAAAGTAAAGCGTATTACATGGTTTTGTAACCATGTCATCTTCTGTACATTACTGTAGGCGGAATGTCAGTTTAAGTCTTTGAAGGGTTTTGTTTTCTCCTAATAGTAAAAAATAAAAGTTAAAAAGGCTAATAAATGTAAACACATGTAATTTAGTTTGTTTAAATTTATTAGCCTTTTTTAAGCTTTAAATATAAAAGGCATGTCAGGGAAGTGCTCACCATCAATTGGCATGAAGTGTTTTTTTTTTAAATGTACAGAGAAATGCTATTTTAAAATGATTAGCTGTTTTTTAAACACGCCTTTAATTTATGTTTTTAATTTTATATTTAATCTATGTTATTGTGTTTTAATGATCCAAAGCTTTATTGAATGTTTCCAGCATGAGTCCTTTCAGAAATGCAGCTGCGAGGCCCTCGCAGGCTCTTGACTCTGTGGTATGTGTATGTTTGCGTGTTTGTGAGGTGCATGTCGTGTGTGAAGTTTGTGATTAGCTGTTTTTTAAACACACCTTTAATTTATGTTTTTAATTTTATATTTAATCTATGTTATTGTGTTTTAATGATCCAAAGCTTTATTGAATTTTTCCAGCATGAGTCCTTTCAGAAATGCAGCTGCGAGGCCCTCGCAGGCTCTTGACTCTGTGGCATGTGTATGTTTGCGTGTTTGTGAGGTGCATGTCGTGTGTGAAGTTTGTGTGTTGCGGGGGCAGTTGTTGCAGTGCCGGAGCCTGGAGGAGCTGTGAAAGAAAGAGGTAATGAGCTTTGCTTTATTTCATTCTTTCTCTGGAGGGAGAGAGCAAAGAAAGACAGCAGCTCTGGCAGTGAAATTGGAGGAGGTGGATGTATGTATGTGTGAGAGGGGAGTCAACAACTTTCTCCAGTCTTTTTGATTGTTTCCTCATGCGGTTTTTGGACCTATTCACGTTATTTTAATGATTTATTTTCTTTGTATGTTTTGAAAAATCTATTTAAAACAATCCATAATGGCCTTTGCTGTGCTTTGGAAACAGAGTTTACAAGCAGTGGCCAAAAAGTTAGGCAAATATTTGAAACATCAACTCCATTATGTACAGTGAGGGTGATGAATGTTTTATGTGCATCCAATTTATTTCGCCTCGTGTTGTGTGTGTGTGGTTTTTTTTGTTTTTTTTTACAATATTACATTCCACATTTAAAGTTGAGCTTATGCGCTGACGTCTGCGTAAGACTAGCCAAAGATCCACTGCAAACAAAATAAGTTTGTATTTTAAACAAGAAATGCAAAAGATTTCAATTTGTTTTTTTGATGAACTGGGATTTGAGATTAGTTTGATTGTTGTATGAATCTTCTTTTTATATGTGTAGTTGACATGACATGTACAAGTGTCCTTCAGAGTAACATGCTATACTCCATATACAAAAACTGCTGTAGACACAGTGTGAGTTTTCAGTCGTATTTCGACTCTTCGTTATTGCTTCAATGCAAAGGAAACCAGCGTGCCCGCCGCGCCGTTATTTGTCAGGTGTGTTCAAGTAAGCTAGATATGCGCAGATGTTGCGCAATTTGGCTGTATTTAATATATTATGATGTCTCAGAAGTTCAGCATTTGCATTAAATCTGTGTAGATTTGGCTTAAATGAACTTGCCCAATAAATTATATATATATATATATATATATATATATATAATAAGACAATTCTCAAAATGTCTTCTTTTATGTTCCACAGAAGAAAGAAAGTCATACA